CTTATCAACGACGCTTCTGAGCGGACTCGCATAAAAACTGCCCCCCCACTTTCAAATATCTTCGAAAGTTCAATGATGGAAGGGGCTCTGCCTTCTGAATGGTAGCTGGCCAACATAATTTATATTTACAAAAGAGTGAGGGCTTCGCCTAGTAGTTGGATCAGTAAGTCTGACACGCATTTCTTGCAAAGTAATCGATGCATTAACCAAAGCGGTACTAATGACTTACAGTTAACACATCCTTTCTGAATTACAAAGAGAGCCATTCGAAAACGACTTTCGGTCAATGGAAAGGGAGAAAAAAAGGCGGACTTGTCGTAATTTGCCACCCAATATCGGTATCCAATCAAGTCTCCTGAAAAAAACCAATAACTTCTCAAATCTCACGGTATAATTTAAAAGAAAAACTTATTATTTTCGCTTTTATGAATACAGAGCAACGGCTTGTAGACATAAGACCAGCAATTGATTTGTTGGTTTTCTTTTGAAGGCATTCTGCCAAACGAGATGTGTATCTGTCACTTACCATCATGGATGCTTACCAATCATAATAACGCTGTATGAAAGAATAAACTGCATTTCGAGAAAGCTTTTCGAAAGATAAAGTAATAATCATCTACTCTTACTTTTTAAACGTGTGTTAGCGCAGTCAAGCTAAGAAGTACTTAATTGCCAATAAGATGCCGGATTTCTCTTCTATTTATGCTTTTGCTGCTTTATATAGTGAACGCCAGGGTAAGTAATAGGTCCACCCTGGACTTTGACATACTGGATGATCAAGTCATCCTGAGCAATCAACGTATTAAAACAGCTTGAGGTCACATTGGATATGCGTATATATGAATAGGCGTGTATCACGACGACTCACAGGCTTAATAGGAGTTTCTGATGTTAAGTTTGGTATTTTTGGGTACTACGGTAGCCTTTTTGCTGGCTTTGCAAGCAGCAAACTGTACAGGAGATGCCCGTAAGTAATGGGACGTATTTTGTCTCGGATGCACCCGAACATGTTTGCTTTAAGTAATCAATTTACTTTCCCACACATTTCGGGAAACACATTATTATTTTAAAAATTTACTCCGGAGGAACCTCGCAATGGTGAAGTGTATTTATGTTATCTGCCTGAATTTGTTTATAAGATTTTCATCAATTTTTAAAATTCTGCTTTAAATTCACTATATTATCAATTCGTGCCTTTCAGTGCGTTTTCAGGCTCAAAGTGGAGGGCCACGAGTGATTCTAACACGTTGGAATGCGGAATATAAAATAAATACCTCCGTCGAATTTCGAATTATAGTGAATGGAGAGTTGAACCCCAGCTGTCGGGGATGTGATAACAGTACGAATAAAATGTTCTGTCAATGTAAATTGGATGGTTACGCACCAAACTCACAGCATATCGTCCAGTTAGCTGTCTGCAATCCAGAGGAAAACGATTCGGCTAAATGCAATGTACTTAGCAAGCATCCTTCCGTTTATCTACCGCCTGAGGGCAAGTATACTCACCTTTTTTTCAATTAATACACATTTGATTTTATATGAAATTATTATAACAATTTCATATGAAACTATAAAACTACACTATCAAATATATGACCATTCATTATGAGGCATATGTCGTAGTCACATGCACACTCTTATCAGCTGCGAATATGCTTAATAGAGTCATACATGCCAACGACTTACTAGCCAGTAATTCTACTAGTTACAGTGACATGTTGCAAACGCTCGTTTTTTAGGAACACGCTTAATGAAAGCATTCTCTTTCAGCATTCCTACGATCACATACAGCTGAGCAAGGCGCCTAAGCGCAGTTGACATGCCGCTCCTATGGGAGCTATCGAGTTCTTGTCCTAACTGATTGGTTCATTGTCAGCTACTCTTCCTTATCAAGCAGTCCGAAGTTACTTTCTTTGCGTGAATACAATTAACCTCGTGGTCCCTTGCCTTATCTGCTCTTTCGTGCTCTTTCGTATAGCCATCAGAAATCGCCCAGTTCGTGTTTATTACGTATGCCAAGCATGGGTCGTATCAACTTTTCTA